ACTGTCATGACAGAAGTCCCACGGAGATCTGTCTTTGTCGGTTTGTTTCCTTGTGTAAAACACTGAAGTTGAACATTTTTGGATGATGTGTCCACTTCTTATTCTGTCGCATCAGGAGGCACAGACACTGGCCCACCTCATTTCTGGTGGTTGTGTGTGTGATCATTTGATCAAAGCTGAATTGCCCACTGTTCAGTTCCCTTCTTTGTAATAACTACGCTGTTGAGAAATACTGATATTATAGAAATACTGATCAGATTTTGTTCCTCATCACATGGCACATAGTGACATGTCCTGATGACCTTTGCCCCAATTTTTTAGTTTTCCACCCCCAGTGGACTGGATCACACAGTGAAGTGTATGAACACACACCTTCACCAGGGTGCTGAAACCATGTGAAGTCTCTTCTCAGGCCTTGCAGCTATCCTGTACCCCTGCGCCCTCTAGTGGTAAGATGTGGGCACCTCGCTAAACTGTTCCTATGCAATGTGATTGGAAGGCCACAACCTTAGGGCCGTGATGTGTGGTGCATGTCCTCCATGCTTGTTTTCCTTACTCTAGGCAGCTATGGCCACCAGGCCTTGGCTAGTGCTAAACTGTGCTGATAAACTGTGACCACACGTGTGAAATCAAGCACACTGCCTACTTTGGTAAATTTAACTGGAACAAAGCCCACCTTCAGTAATGGTTTGGTTTTGAAGTATGAAGCCATCTGCTGATTGTGCACTAGCTTAACAGGTCTCATCTTCCATAACCCAGAACCTCATGAAATTGGATTTTCACTGAGCCTTTGGCTGTCTGTTCTTCTGTCCAGTGTTCCTTCACTGTTACACTGTGACAGATGATGACTTTACCATTTAACTCATTTAACAGACTCCAGCTTTGTGTTTTTGTGTTAATTACGCTGAGGCACAGAAGGATCTGTTTTCAAGGAACCTAAGGAGAGGAAGAAGCCTGTCAGAATGCAAAGGGACAAACTCAGCAGTACCCCCAGAACTTCGCAAGTACACCAAATGGAGGCAAATGGAAGTGGCCTTTACCCTAAAACACACCGAGACGGTGGGTGGTGTGGGATAAGAAGGGTTGGCGCATTTTAAGTAGAAAATGAAGGAAAAGGAGAGAAACAGTTGGGTAGTTCCTGCCAACGAGGCCCCTCCGGCTTAAGTTACCAATAAGACTGGTAACTGGTGTCTACTGGTGTGGTAATTGTATTTGTCTCATCACAATACAAATAATGTGCATGTGTGCATGATAGTAATGGAGCTTGAACTCAGGGCCTCATGCTCTCACTTGATTTTTTTTATTCAAGGCTGGTACTCAAACACTTGAGCCACAGCTTTGTGTACAGCTCTTTTGGTGACTAATTGGAAGTAAAGAGTCTCACAGACTTTCCTGCCTGGGCTGGCTTCGAACCAGGATCCTCAGATTTCAGCCTCAAATAGCTGAATAATTTTCAAAAGGCCTTATATAGACTTTTCCCATCATGGCCCTCACTGGACACATGCTGTAGGCCATGGCTTCACATTAGCAGTGTCACCCTTCTGCAGGTGACCTCTCCCAGAGCCACTACATTCTGAGGCAGAGTTAAGAGCTGTGGTCAGTTCTTCCTCTAAAGGAATGGCACACTGAAGTTGGCAGCTGGAGAGAGGTTATGTGGATGTAGGAGCCTTCAAGGGCTTGGCCTTGAAAATGTCTATCTACAGATAAGAAACTGGGCCAGGTGAGTTGCGATCACACTACCAGCTGTACATGTTCTCATTTGCTGAGGAAGGCCCGCAGCGTAGACCCCCATGCTCCTCCCGCAGCAAGCAGCTGGGACCAACAAGGAGTATGTTCTTTAAGACCATCCTGGGTGTTGGGAGGGGTACACTTGCCAGGTGCTTTTCTGAATACATCTGTGTAGTGACTTAGTCTGCTCCGGTGGGCCCTGGAGACTGCAGGGGAGAGTGCCGTGTTGCCCCAGACATAGAACTAATGTCGCTGAAATTGTGGTCAAGTGGTAGCAAGTGTGAAGCCCTGAGTTCAAATCCCAGTACCACAATGATGATCCCAGTACCACAATGATGATGGTGATGATAAGCTGTCCTAAACACACTACCTGGGCCCTTCCTGAGGCTAGAGGTTGAGACATAGGTTCTACTGTCCGCCATAATACTCACTTTGTGACCTGGAACAAGTATCTCAGCCTGTATACTCATAGCCCTAGACTATCTGCTACCTTTTCATATTCTCTTTCAAAGGAAGAGTTTGAAGAAGGGGACACTATACACATAGGACTGGAAGCAAGGAGAGAGCAGAAAGGAGCAACTTGTCAATTTATACCCAACATCCATGGCTCATCCCTATAAGCCTCGCTACTTAGGAAGCTGGGATCTGAGGATCCTGGTTCTGAGCCAGCCAGAGCTGACAAATCCAATAGACTCCTTTCCAATTAACCAGCAAAAGCCTTAAGTGGAAATGTGGCTCAAATGGGAGAGAGAAACAGAGTGAGACCCTAAGTTCAAGCTCTAACACAAAACAACAGTTCTGACACTCTTCCCCTCAGGAGACCTATGGCTTCTTGGGCATGGACTATTTGTTTCCTGTAGAAGAAATAGCTCATTCAGAGTCACCATCCTACCCCAGCCCCTCTTAAGATACACCTGTTCCTCCCCCTGGGCACAGGTGGCCCTTGGAGCTAGGACAGCACTTAAGCCTCTTACTCCCTTCTGGCAGGGTCCTGAGCAAGATGGTCCGGGCAAGCTCAGCTTAATAGAACTCTGTATCTACTGGCTGGGAAGGTGGCTCAGTGGGAGAGCTCTTGCCTTGCATGCCTGAGGCCATGGGTTCCATTCCTCAGCACCACAAAAGCAAAAAGAAAAAAGCCGGAAGTGGCGTAGTGGCTCAAGTGGTAGAGCACTAGCCTTGAGCTGAAGAGCTGAGGGACAGCGCCCAGGCCCAGAGTTCAGGCCCCATGACCGGACCCCCCCAAAAAAAGAACTGTGTACCCACAGCCTATCCAGCCATGTTGCTCATTCCTTGCTCCCCAACCCAAACAGAAGCTCCATCTCCCTGTTGTGTCCCCTTCCCTACTGCTGACTCATCCCAGCTGCACCCCTTCCCAACCTTGGGGGCCTCCACAGGAACCTGCAGCTGATAGGGCTCTGCTCCTCTGGCACAGCTGGTCATTTTCTCACATTCTCCAAGGTCAGGGTGCCAGCCTCTCTTTTCTCAGGGCGGCTCCACGCATGTCCCCTCTGCTGTGTGAGAGGTCGCTGCCCCTCCACCCATGCACCCCTTCCTCCTGACCACACCCCTGTGCACAGGCCTCCACCAGGCCCACACCAGCCTCCCTGGCCTCTGGATCTTTCCCCTGACTTCATCTCCAAAGACCTTTCCTTCTTCCCCACACCAGGAACCCAGAGGCGGTGTGCCAGGGCCTCTCCCACCGTCTCTTCCCCAGCAGGGCCTCCAGCCCACTTCTCTCTCTACTCCAGTCACTGGCCCCACGTCTGTCTTAGACTGCATACTCCTTCACCACTCTTGTTCAACTCAAAATCACCTTACTCTTCCTACTTCTGACAGTCTGATTGCCTTTTCCTGAGCACGTTTCACACGGATACAAAGCAGCCCGGGAGACTGGGACCTCCTGATCAAAGGGCACCCACCTCAGCCATGCCAGCCTATGTGCCTTCTCCCAGTGCCTTCTCCCCACCCACCGGCCCCTTAGCCTTCCTGAGCCACATTTTCTCTCTCCTCCCAGCTTCTCCATCAACCTGAAACTTCAAACAACAACAAAAGCACCATTGTACATCCCTCCTCCACTCCCTGCCTCCATTTCCCCACTTCCTTACTCTTCTCTGCTAACACTGACTATTGCCCCTACACACAACTGCTCTCAATAGGGTCCTCCCCTGTGACTTGATGCTCCTCCTTATCCACCCTTATTGTCAGTATCCTCCTCCCAACACCCTTCACAACTTCAACACCCACCAGAGGCTGACACCCACCAACCCAGTCAACAGATTCTCTCAACTGCTTTAACCACCTCCACTGCTCGGCACCCCATCAGCAAGCTAAGGCAAAACTGAATGATATTTCCTTAAATTCACCTGTTCCTCTCCCCCCACCCCCATGAGCAGTCTTCAGACTGTTTCAGACTGCCCACCTGGAATCCGCATCATCACTCAATATTTGTTGAGTGACAATGAACCTTTGACCCCTCCCTCCCTCATTCTCCACAGCCAGAAACCAAGTCCTGCTTCCAATCACGTCCCAGGATCGGACCCTTTGCATTTTATTTGTTGTTGTTGTGTGTGCGCGCGCGCTTGTGCACGAGTGTGAATATTGGATCTTGAACTCAGGGCTTGGGCGCTGTTCCCGAGCTCGTCTTTGCTCAGCATGCCACCACTAGCCACAGCTCCACTTCTGGTTTTCTGGTGGTTTATTGGAGATAAGAGTCTCACAGACTTTCCTGCCCGGGCTGGCTTTGAACTGCGATCCTCAGATCTCAGCCTCCTGAGTAGCTTGGATTACCGCCGTGAGGCACCCAGCGCCCGGCTTTCTACCCCACCCTCACCCCCTTCCCCCAGTCCTGGGGTTTGAACTCAAAGCCTGGGCGCTGACCCTGAGCTTCTTTTGCTCAAGGTACTTCTAGCTCTGTTTATGTGGTAGTGAGGAATCGAACCCAGGCAAACACTCTGCCACTGAGCCACATTCCGAGCGTGCCGCTCAACCCCGACCTGACAAGGAACTTTCGGACAGCCCCACTGCACGCGGAGTCCAAGTCCGTCGGCGGCACGGCCAGGTACACACCCGGGCGCTGGAGAATGCAACGCAACCGAAAAAATGAATGGAGTCCTTCTCGCGTGGGGCTCCGCCCCCGCTCACGCGATGCTCCCATCAGCCAATAGGAACACTCTAATGCGTGCCTTCGCGCGAGCCATGGAACTCGCCTCGTGTCTCGGCAGCCAATGGGAGAGGCCTGCGTGGCCTTCATGGGGGCGGCGGCGGCGGTCCGGCCGACGTGCGGCGCGCATTATCTCCTTTCGTCCGGAGCTACAGTCCTGCGCGGCTTCGCCTCTTAGTCGCCCAGTCTCCGGAAGATGGGGGTCGTCGTCCCCAGACGCTGCCTGGAGTGTCTGCTCGGCCTCTACTTCCTCTCCCACATCCCCATCACGCTGTTCGTGGACCTGCAGGCGCTGCTGCCGCCGGAGCTCTACCCGGCCGAGGTGAGGGGCGCCCGGGGGGGGGGGATCCAGACGCCCTTTCCCGCCCCTCGTCGCCCACGCAGGGCCCCCCTTTCTCAGATCCCCCTTCGCTGACTCCGACCTGACGTTCCTGGGCTTCCCCGGCGGCGGGGACCGGTTCCGGGCCGCCGCCCCCGCGCACGTGTCGGCGTTTGAGGGAACCCGCGCGGGGGAAGCGCTGTGCATGCGCCCCGGCGGGGTTTGGAGAGGGGTTGGGAGGTACCAGCCCAGCCCCACATCCGAACTCCGAGGATTAGGTCCGGCCAGAGCCTCCGCGCCCTCGCTGCGCGCCTGGCTTTCACGGACACCCTGGAGAGGGGTTGTTTTAAAGTCCAGTGACACCTGGGGAAAAACACAGGTGCACGGCCCCATTTCCTGGCCGCTGGAGAATACTCTTTGCTTCAGACTCTTTTTTTTTAATATTCAGAACTACAGTTCTAGTTTACCAAAAAAAAATTCAAAACTGGGGGCCTGAAACCTTTTATTGTTGTTTGCTACTTTGAGATAAGGGAATGTGTACTACAGATTAGCCTCCCACTGTTACTCTGCCTCCTGCGTGCTGGGATTTACAGGTGTGCATCACCACCATCCAGCTAGATCCTGGACTCTGCTTCAGGGAATTTTCCTGTCGGCAAGTCTGTGATTGTTTAAGTTAATGGTTAAACGGTGGGTAAGGCTGGCTTATCAACCTACAAATTTTGCCTCTCTGAAGTACTCCTTAAATGTTGTTTTTTTTTTTTGTCGATCGTGGGGCTTGAACTCTGGGCCTGGCGTTGTCCCTCAGCTCTTCAGCTCAAGGCGAGCGCTCTACCTCTTGAGCTACAGCGCCACTTCTGGTTTTGTGGTGGTTTATTGGAGATAGGAGTCTCCCGGTCTCTCCTGCCCGGGCTGGCTTTGAACCGCGATCCTCAGATCTCAGCCTCCTGAGTAGCTAGGATTACAGGCGTGAGCCACCAGCGCCCGGCTTTAAATGTGTTTTCTTTGCAGACCCAAATCCATGAACTCTCAGAGGTGCTGGCAAATGTGTTCTGTATCTTCCTTGGTGTGCATCTCCTATTTGCTTCTAGAAGCAAGCATAGCCCAACCAAACCTCTAGTTCCATGAAAAAGGCATAGGTAGTAGTATGGGAAGAGCACTGGACTGCAGTCTGGGGATTTGATTCTTCAGAACTTATGGTGCAGAGCAAGCCTCCAATGCTAGCTACTCAGGAGGCTGAGATCCAGGACCAAAGTTTGAAACAAGCCTGGGACAGGAAAATCCATGAGACTCTTCTGTCCAATTAGCTACCAAAAAGCCAGAAGCTGTGGCTCAAGTGGTAGTGCCATCCTTGAGTGAAAAGGCTGAGGGACAGGACCCAGGCCGTGAGTTCAAATTCCAGTACTGGAGGAGAGAAGTGGAGTGGGGTGAGGTTGGGGTGGGGGGAGAAGGAAAGAACTGGTATCTGGACAAGTCAGTGCCCTAGCCTCACCTTTCATTATAAGCTCACTGCCCTGGGTTCCATCCCAAGCCACTAAAACAAAGTGTAACTATTCCTGTGCATGCACTTGCACTATAGTCATTTCCTATTTCTACTCTGACAAAAGAGCACAAAAATGGGCTCAGGTGGCTCAAGCCTGTAATCCTGGCTACTTAAGCAGGGATCCAAGGATTGAGACTTGAAGCCATTGCAAGCAAGAAAGTGCATCAGACTCATTTCCAATTAACCATCAAAAAAGCCAGAAGGCCGGGCACCGGTGGCTCACACCTGTAATCCTATTCAGGAGGCTGAGATCTGAGGATTGCAGTTTAAAGCCAGCCCAGAAAGGAAAGTCCAGGACACTCTACACTTTAGAGGTCAAAGGTACACGACGGATCATGGCTGTTATGAAAGCTGTTTCCTTCACAGGGAAAAATCTGTTCTTTTCCAGTTTCTAGTGGCTGCCAGTGTTCCTTGGCTTGTGACCATATCACTTTAGTCTCCAGGTTATCACTCTCCAGGCCATCTTCTCTTCTGCATCCAATCTCCCTCTTCCCTATCTGCACTTATTACCAAGTAAGTGAGAGGCCTAGTCATTACTGTCTTTGGGGCAGATTGTTTCACCACCCATACTGCACCACATAGTACATTCTCTTTCCAAAGAGGTTCTCACATTGCTGCACTAACAGCTCCCAGAAAACAGGAAAGCTATTGCTACCTCTGAAGTTTTTAAAACTTAGGAAGCCAGCAAACCTCAGGCGGGCAAGCTGGCCATTCACTAGCTCTTGATGTTCTAAGTCACTTCAGTTCTTCGTAATTAGCTTGTTATTCCACATTGCCGTTCCAAACTTATTTATCTTTTCATTTCCTCTCCTTGCTCACAACTTACAAAAATAGAACTGAAATATGTCAGAATCAAAAAGACTCAATTTAATTGTACATATTCAAGAAGGTAAGTTTTTCTCCCCTTTAGGGATCGGGTTATAACCTAGTGTTAGTACACTTATCACATGGCCCTGGGTTTGATCCCAGAACACACTCAAAAAAATCCTCTGATGCTGAGCACCTGTGGCTCACATCTGTAATCCTAGCTACTTAGGAAGCTGAGATCTGAGGATTGCAGTTCGAAGCCAGCCTGGAAAGGAAAGTCTGAGATTCTGACTTCCAGTTAACTATTAAAAAGCTAGAAGTAGAGCTGTGGTTCAAGTGGTAGAGCACTGTAGCCTTGAACAAAAAAGTTTGAACACCCTGAATCTAGTGTAGTGCTAAGGACCAGTGCAGGATCTAACCAGAAATGGTTAGTTGCACACATGCATTCATATATTGATGGTGATACTGAAGGAGTTAGTGTGGGAGCATGCTGCCTTGGAAGGCTGGCGACCCTACTCACAGGTACGTGTGACAGCTTGAGCGTTACTGGCCTTGGCTCCGGTTGGCTAAGCCATACCTTGAATTCCCCTATTCACTCGTTACAAATTTTTGGGTGGTGATTTTGTTGCTTTTTATGGAGAAGACAATTACCTTGGGTTTGTCTCAGATTTTCTTTAGCAGGTACCAAAATTTAACATCTGGTTTTCCTCCTGAAATGAGAAAATTTCCCCTAGAACTAAAAAAGCACTGTGGGAAATCACAATACTGGTGGTGGTGAAATTTTAAGATCAAACTTTTTTCTTCGTTTGAAATCAAATCACTTGGGAAAGTTCTGGTTACACAACAATAAAATAATTGCACATTGGCTGAAACATGGAAAGAACAGGAAACATTTTGTGTCATTTGCAGCTGGACAAACTGCTTCTAGTAAAACAAGGATAGGTAGGCATCTGGGCTTGCAGTCTATCCCTGTCATAAATTAGAGGCGTGCAAGAGTGCTCAGTAGCCAGCCCTCTTAGAAAGCCAGGTGTGCAGATGGCTCGTACTGGGCAACAGCTGTGACATGAGTTAACTATAGAGTATGGATGGAGGGGGACAGAGGACTTCAGTGGCGAGAGGCATAAATAGAATTAAACTTGAACATCTTCGGCTAGGCATTAATTCATATACAGTATTTATTTGTGTATTAAGTGATTACATGTGCTACGTCTAAAGACTACATGTGTTAACTCACTGTATCTTACCAGCAGTACATAGTTGTTAGCGGCCTTACACTGTAGACAAGAAAGCAAGTGTGGTGACTTGAAAGCTCCCAGCTCACATGTTCCTCATCACTCTACGGAAGCATCAGGACTTCTCTTCCACTTACCTGCTTGGGCCCCATCCCAACACCAGCTGACTGATAGATGATTACAGGCAGTGGGTCCTAACTCATTAGGAAACTGGGTGATTTGAAGTTTTTTTTTTTTGGGTCCGGTCGTGGGGTCTGAACTCTGGGCCTAGGCACTGTCCCTCAGTTCTTCAGCTCAAGGCTAGCGCTCTACCACTTGAGCCACAGCACCACTTCCAGCTTTTTTCTTTTTGCTTAAGTGGTGCTGAGGAATTGAACCCAGGGCCTCAGGCATGCAAGGCAAGCGCTCTACCACTGAGCCACCTTCCCCGCCCCATGATTTGAAGTTTTTATTGTTGCTTTTATCACCAGCAGTCCTTAGACATTGTAGTGCTGTACAGATTTACCTGAATTTATGAAATAGCTGGATCTAATTATTTACAAGTGTAGAAAATGAAATTCAAATGGACCAGAATGCCTTTCGTTTGTGCCAGAACTGAGGCTTGAACTCGGGGCCTGAGCACTGTCCCTAAGCTCAAGGCTTACACTCTACTATTGAGCCACAGCTCCACTTCCTGCTTTTTTGGTAGTTAATTGGAGATGAGGCTTGTGGACTTTCCTGTCCAGGATGGCTTTGAATCACAATTGTGAGATCTTAGACTCCTAATAGCTAGGATTACAGGCCACCAACACCCGGCTCAGAATGCCTTTTAAATGGTTTCCTTTAGTACTTTAAAAAATTGGAAACCCTAGCTGCTCAGGAGGCTGAGGGATCTGAGGTTCACAACTAAAGTCAGCCCAGGCAGAAAAGTCCATGAGACTCGTATCTCCAATTAACCACCAGAAAACCAGAAGTGGCACTATGGCTCAAGTGGTAGAGCGCTCACTTTGAGCTGAAGAGCTGAGGGACAGTGAGTGCTCAGGCCCAGAGTTCAAGCCCCATGACCAGCAAAAAGAAAAAAAAAAGTCTAAAACCAGAACTGAGAGAATCTCTACTGCTAATGTTGAAGGAAGCAGAGCTCAGTCTTTTTCTTAATTATCACGTGACAGAGTCTGGACCTGATGGGAGAAAGGGTGGAAGAGGATAAAGATCCAAGCTGGCGAAATTTCCTGACCTCCACAGGCCTTGCTGCTGTCCTGCAAGCCGGTGCTGCTAGGATGTTTTTTCAGTTTTTCAATCCTCATATAGCCTCTTTGTAAACGGTTTAAATGAGATTGTCTTTGGCTCAGAGAGAACTACTCACCTGGCTTTCACATTACTCTTCCTGATCATGTTGGTGTTGAAGCTGGATGGGAAAGCACCTTGGAACTGGTTCCTCATTTTTATTCCAGTCTGGATATTTGATACTATCTTGTCATGCTGATTGTCTAGCCAGAACTTTTCTGAAACTAATATTTGCTAACAAATATTTCTGTTCTTTCATGTAGTAGTCTTTTTCCTTTGATTAAAAATTAACAACAGGGATGGGCTGGGAAGGTGGCTCAGTGGTAGAGTGCTTGCCTTGCATGCATGAGGCCCTGGGTTCGATTCCTCAGCACCACATAAGCAAAAAGAAAAAAGCCAGAAGTGGCGCTGTAGCTCAAGTGGTAGAGCGCTAGCCTTGAGCTAAAGAGCTGAGGGACAGTGCCCAGGCCCAGAGTTCAGGCCCCACGACTGGACCCAAAAAAAAAAAATTAACAACAAAAAAGCTGGGCACCAGTGGCTCACACCTGTAATCCCAGCTACTCAGGAGGCTGAGATTTGAGAATCTCGGTCCAAAGCCAGCCTGGGCAGGAAAGTCTGTGAGACTTATCTCCAATTAACCACCAGAAAAACTGGAAGTGACACTGTGGCTCCCTGAGTTGAAGAGCTCAGGGACAGTGTTTAGGGCCAGAGTTCAAGCCCAGTGACCAACAACAAATTAAAAAAGGTGGGCATCAGTGGCTCAAACATGTAATCCTGGCTACTTAGGAGGCTGAGATCTGAGGGTCATGGTTCAAAACCAGCCTGGGCAGGAAAGTCTGAGTGTTATCTCCCATTGACCACCAGAAAACAGGAAGTAGCTCTGTGGCTCAAAGTGGTAGAATGCTAGCCTTGAGCAAAAGCAGCTCAGGGATAGCTCCCAGGCTCTGAGTTCAAGTCCCATGACCAACAACAACAACAAAAATAACAAATAATATCCTTGGATAAGTTAAAACTTACCTTGGAGAAGTGCCTTTATTGATCACACCCTGTCACACACTTGACTACAAAGTCTTGTGTGTTGGGACAGTGCCACTGCCAGGAATTGTGGCAGCTGACTTTTGGTTGTAGGCCATCCCTGAGGCTTTGGACTCCTATACAGCACACAGCGAAGTGAATCTGGCACTGGCTCTGCCTGCCAAGCTCAGATCCTTTTATTTCACAGAGTAACCACAGAGGGTGGCCCAGGCTGGAACTAAGACTGCTAACTGGATCTCTGCTCCTCTACAGTTTTGGGCAATTTGTTTTTCTACAAATACTCTGCTGCTTCTAAAAGGAAAATTCTATGTGTGGAGTTGAGCATAATGATTGGCAATATTGGAGTTAAAGAATCCAAATCAGCCAGGTGCTGGTGGCTCACACCTGTAATCCTACTCAGGAGGCTGAGATCTGAGGATTACAATTCAAAGCCAGCTCAAGCAGGAAAGTCTGTGAGACTCTATCTCCAAGAAACCACCAGAAAACCAGAAGTGGCATTCTGACTCAAGTGGTAGAGTACTCACCTTGAGCTGAAGAGCTGAGTGACAGCACCCAGGCCCAGAGCTCAAGGCCCACAACCGACAAAAAAATCCAAAATTACATCTTCACAGGGGTTAGATTTACCTCACACTCCCTGCCTCCAACCCTGAAGAGGAAACTTTTCCCCCTGTATTTAAGAGAATCTGGCCTTTGGAATTGTGTGTGCAGTTATAAAAGAGAAAAATGTCACGTTTTGTTTTTCCCCAGTTGCGGGCTTGAACTCTGGGCCTGGGCACTGTCCCTCAGCTCTTCAGCTCAAGGTGAACACTCTACCACTTGAGCCACAGCACCACTTCTGGTTTTTTGGTGGTTTATGAGATAAGAGTCTAAAGGACTTTCCTGCCTGGGCTGGCTTTGAACCGCAATCCTCAGATCTCAGCCTCCTAAGTAGCTAGGATTACAGGCGTGAGACACCAGCACCCGGCATGATGTTTTTCACATTTGCCATTTCCTTACAAAAAAAAAAAATGTTGGTACCAGGCGCTGGTGCCTCACGCCTGTAATCCTAGCTATTCAGGAGGCTGACATCTGAGGGTTGCAGTTCAAAGCCAGCCTGGGCAGGAAAGTCATGAGATTCATCTCCAGAAAACTGGAAGGCTGTAGAGCACTATCCTTGAGCTGAAGGCTCAGGGACACTACCCAGGCCCCAGAGTTCAAGTACCACGACTGACCCCTTCTTCACCCCCCCTTCCATCCCCCCTCCCCTCTTCCCCCCCCCCACAAAAAAAGACATTGGCAGAAGTGACACATTCATTCCACAAACCCTGAGAGCCAGATATTTGCTATTGCTCTTGATGGTGGGTGACACCCGTGTTACCCAGCAAATGCTGGGTGGCACAAAGAAGGGACTAGGAGAACTGAGGAACTTCACAGAGAAGCAATATTGAGTTACAGGTAGTGAGCTTTAATCCAGTGACCACCTAGGCTGTAGCCCACTGGAGCCAGTGGCTTGAAATTAACCATGGTCATGTCTTTTTTTCCCCAGCTTAGAAACTTGATGATCTGGTATTATAAAGAGTTCAAAGATCCCCTGATGCAGGAGCCCCCAGTGTGGTTCAAGTCCTTCATATTTTGTGAGCTTCTGTTTCAGCTGCCTTTCTTCCCCATCGCAACGTATGCCTTTTTCAAAGGTTGGTTAATAGGGGAGAGGGGAGTTCTGCTTTTGCTCAGAAATCTTTGGGACAGTGTCTTCATGGGAGAGGACAGAAACTCTTGCAGTTTGTACAGGGCACCTTAGTGGCTGTTTAAATAAATAGTCAGCCTCCATTATCTGAAACCTGAAGCCACTTAAAGGATGACCTTGTTTCTACTTAATCGATTTTATTCTCCTACTTTGGATGCTACCATATTGATTTATCCCTAAAAAGCCCTAAAGGGAATTCTTTTCTTATGTGCTCTCATAGTTTTTGTTCCCCATAACTATGGTTCAAACTCAGTCTTGCACTTGTTACACAAGCACTGTACTTACTACAGAAGCCACATTCCCAGTCCTTTTCTGCTTTTTCTAGTAGTCTCAGCTTTATACCTAGGCAGGCATAAACTTCCAATGTAGCTAGGATGATTAGCACACCTATTTTTTTTTTTTTGCTTTCGCTTTTGTTGTTTTTTTTTTTTTTTTTTTTTGGTGAGACACCATGACTTGAACTTAGTGCCTGACGTTTTGGCTCATTGTCCAGCATGCTATCAACTGAGCTATGCCTCCAACCCTAAGATGAAGGTCTTACAAACCTGTCCAGGATTGGCCTCTTACCACAATGCTCTTGATCTCTACCTCCTTAATAGCTAGGATTACAGGTGTAATAAGTCACCATGTCCAGCTAGTGTTTTTTTTTTTTGGTCGGCCGTGGGGCTTGAACTCTGGGCCTGGGCGCTGTCCCTCAGCTCTTCAGCTCAAGGCAAGCGCTCTACCACTTGAGCTACAGCGCCACTTCCGGTTTTCTGGTGGTTTATTGGAGATAGGAGTCTCACAGTCTCTCCTGCCCTGGCTGGTTTTGAACCGCGATCCTCAGATCTCAGCTTCCTGAGTAGCTAGGATTACAGGTGTGAGCTACCGGCGCCCGGCCAGCTAGTGTTTTTATACAAATGTATCTACACTTCTGTTCTTGGAAAATAAGTTCAAATAGCTGAAAATGTTTCTCACAGGAGTGCTTCACAGACAGACGTTGGGTGGGATTCCCCTGCACTACATTTTAGATCACTTTTCTTTTTTGGTGATGGTACTGGTGAACTCAGAGCCTTATGCTCTCTCTCCAGTTGGCCTCTTCACTCATTGCTGGCCCTGTATCACTTGAGCCACATCTCCATTTCCTTCACTGCATTTTAGACCAAATTAATAACGCAGTTTTCTACCTTAGGCCTTTCCATCTGTATTCTAATCCAAACCCTTGGTTCTTCGGCAGTCAGTGAACTAAGAGTCATGGCTGTCACATAAGTTTGCGTGTGGGATGTGTAACCCATCTAATTTCCCTCCCGTTTATCTGAGTTTCCCCTTGAGGGGGAGGAGGTAGTGATTCAGCTGAAGGGAGCAGGCAGACAGGGACAAGATGGAGAGTGTCCCAGACACCCTTGGAGTCACAGACATCTTCTCTCTTCCAGGAAGCTGCAGGTGGATCCGCACCCCTGCGATCATCTACTCAGTTCACACTATGACAACTTTAATTCCAATTTTATTCTCACTTCTATTTGAGGAATTTTCCAAAGCCAGTGGTTTCAAAGGACTGAGACCTGAGACCTTCCGTGAACGACTGACCCTTGTATGCCTCTATGCCCCCTACTTAATCATCCCTCTCCTCCTGCTGCTTTTCATGTTGCGGAATCCCTACTACAAGTATGAAGAGAAGAAAAAGAAAAAGTGAGGGGAACATCTCTTGGCCCCAGAGGGGAGATGTCCTTTGGACCCAGTGAAGGAAAAACTGCTCTGAACCCATGTCTTCAGCCTCACACAAGCACAAGATGATGGCAGGAGCCACATAAAATCTTCATCTTCCCAGGGCAACAGGGTGATCAGACCCATCCGCAGGGTTTGGAGTAAGGGAGCCAGTGATAGGAATGTGGTGCCAAATGCCTACATTACCTTACAGGAGACCAGAAACTGGGTAAGCATGGCCTGCTTGCTATGTTCTGTGGCTCTTGTCACATGACCAGAATATACACACCCACTAAGCCCATATCACTGGCTTAAAGAATGAATAGAATGTTTCACTTTAAAATCAAATTATGCCTCTTTTAATACCCATAAAGAACTTGTTCTTGCCAGTACCTGTACCCCTGGGAGAAAAAAATATTACACAAACAGTTTGAAATTTGCTTCTAAAACAGTCATCCCAAGAGACCTTTTTCAGGGAGGGGGGTGAGGAAATGACTGGGGTTTGAACTCAGGGCTGCATGCTTGTTAAACAGATACTCTTATCACTTGATCTGTGTCCCCAACAACTTTCAGTCACTGTCTTTTCCCAAATCTCTGTCTTGCATGTTTTGGCATCTTGAGCCTCATCTAGGAAGCATGTTCCCTAACAGAGACCTTCACCCTTCCTGATGAGCCTAGTCACTCCAGCTAGGGATACAAGTATGCTGTGTGTACCTCAGATCTTTTCACTAGTATGTGCTCTACATCTGCACTGAAGGCCATCCAACCCTCACACACACTCAAAGAGTACAGGTCCCAGCCAATCCCAGTTCTGCCCTTTCCTGCTCAAAAGCCATATTGGTCTGACTACTAGTACTACCTGACTTGTGTGCATCTGGTACAAATAAAGGTAGCTGCTGACCACTTCATGTCTGATCAAGCTGTTTGAAAACAATTTATTGCTTTTCCTTCCAAAGCTTTGTGAGTTTACAAAAAGAGGATCCAAGTTACAGACTGCTTAGTTCATACTAAGAATGCGAAAGGTGAGGCCCTGTCCTGCCCTGCCACCTGCAGTGCCGGGCACTGTTTAGTGCCAGCTCCCCAACGTGGCGTTACTGCCTTCGGAGAATTGTAATCCTTACACACCGTCAGGACGTGCTTAGGTCAGGTCATTAGTCAAGTCACTGGAATGGTACAGAGGTTTTTTTGGTTGGGGAGTATTTTTGCCTTCCTGCTATAAAAATGAAAATTTCAGTCATTTCTGAAAAATAAACTGGTCAATAAATTCATTTTGTTCTGCTTCTACTTTACACAAAGCTTCATATTCAACCCGATACCTGAAAAACAAAATCGTTAGAAGCCCTGAAAAGGATGAAATAAACCAGACTTACTTCTAGAGGAATATAGAGGTGTACATGATTCCAAGAAATGGTGTGCACAAAGAAATTAGGGTAAGAAAGAGGAAAACGAGGCCAGGGCACCCGTGAGATCTCCAAGCCCTGTGTCACTTCCTTGCAGGGCCCTGGCTACCTCAGCTTTTTATGCTCAAACTACTACAGGTCATTTGACATTGACCAATTTCCTTCCCATCATAGGTAATTTTGTTGTTGTTTTTTTAATCCCACAAGTCAGGATGGCAAGTTAGATGCTACTCCTAGGAAAGTGATAAATAAGGTGATCAAGATGAAGACCCTGCTTTTACAGGATGACTTCTTACCTTTCCAACTGCATTTTCTTTTCTGCTATTAATGCTTGAAGTTGCTGTTGTTGGGCTTCTCTCTGCTTTGCTATGGATTTGAGCAAGTTCCGAGCACCAATGGCCTAGGAGACAATAACATAATGCCAGAGAGAAACATGGCTTCCTTACACCAGCTACAGCACTGAGTCCTCAAAGTGAGGGAGCTACAAGTCAGTTCAGGGGAGAAAGGAGGAGATAAGTCAGAATCTACTGGTCCTTGAGTGCATGTGCTTTCAGAGCCAACCCTGCAGTTACTCTAGCCCACTGGGTGGTGCCATTTGGCCTGTACCCTTCACCAAGTCACCTACACCACACAAGCCTTCATTTCCCCATTTATAAGAGGAGGATAAAAGCACCTATCAGTACTTGTGTGAAAAGCCAAGGGAATAGTAGCAAAGTTCTCCAAGTAAGCTCAAACAGTACCTGGATCAGAAATAGTTAAGTTCCACTAGGGCCAACCTTCTAGTCCTGGACCCACAACTGTGTTAAAGCCTTAGTTCAATTAAGGAACCTCCCATCCCCCACAGCAATAGGGAACCAGGATCCCTGGCTGAGACAGACAAGACATGCAGATCTTACCTTCATCTTTTCATTTTCTGCTTCTTTTGCAAGTTGGTCAACAAGCTCTATTAGACCACCAACTATCTTCTGAAACTGTCCAATTTCTTGTAGAGAAAGAACAAAATATTTCTCAGCATCAACACTCCCTTGAAGCCAGTGGCTCATGCCTGTAATCCTAGCTACTCAGGAAGCTGAGATCTAGGGAGTGCAGTTCAAAGCCATCCCAGGCAGGAAAGTTCATGAGACTCTTATCTCCAACTGACTACAAAAAAATAGAATAAAAGGAAGTGGAGCTGTGGCTCAAAGGACAGTACCAAGGCCCTGAATTCAAGCCCCAGAACCAGTGCAAAAATAGCATCCAGGTACCAGTGGCTCCCATCTGTCATCCTATATATTTGGAAAAAGTCTTCAAGACTCCATCTCAAAGGAAAAAGCTGTGCATAGTGGCATATGCTTATCATCCTAGCTACAGTGAAAAGTAAAAATACCATTATCTAGCTATGCATCTAGGCAGGTGATAATTCTATCTCAGAAATAATCAGTGTAATATGAGCTGCAGGTGCAGCTCAATGGTAGAACATCTGCTTAGTAAGTATAAGGGTCTAAGTTCAAGTCCCAGAACTCAAAGCGTGTGGGCGGGGGATATGAGGGGGGGGGCAGAGGAAGCACTGGAAGCTCATATTTGTAATCCTAGCTACTCAGGAGGCTGAGATCTAAGGATCACATTTCAAAGCCAGGCAGGTAGGAAAGTCCATAAGACTCTTATGGACTCCATTTAACCATCAGAAAACCTGAAGTAGCACTGTGGTTTAAAATGATGGAGTGCTGGCTGGGAAGGTGACTTAGTGGTAGAGCGCTTGCCTTGCATGCCTGAGGCCCTGGGTTCAATTCCCCAGCACCACATAAGCAAAAAAAAAAGCCAGAAGTGGCGCTGTGGCTCAAGTGGTAGAGCGCTAGCCTTGAGCTGAAGAATTGAGGAACAGCACCCCAGGACAGAGTTCAGGCCCCACGACCGGACCAAAAAAAAAAAAAATGATAGAGTGCTAATCTTGAGTAAAAGAGCTCAGGGACAGCACCCAGGCTCTGAGTTCAAGCCCCATGGCCCATAAAACAAAGTTTGATGACTATTTTAATTCTCCCACTCTCCTTTATTTTGTGCTTATACAAATGGTATTGATTTCAGGGCCTTACCCTCTTATTTTTTTATGCTCAAAAAAGTTGAGCCACAGGGCTGGGAAGGTGGCTCAGTGGTAGAGCACTTGCCTTGCATGCATGAGGCCTTGCATGCATGAGGCCCTGGGTTCTATTCCTCAGCACCACATAAGCAAAAAAGAAAAAAGCCGCAAGTGGCGCTGTGGCTCAAGTGGTAGAGCACTAGCCTTGAGCTGAAGAGCTGAGGGAAAGCACCCAGGCCCAGAGTTCAGGCCCCACGACCAGACCAAAAAAAAAAAAAAGTTGAGCCACAAAATGTACTGACAAGGTCAGGTAACCACCAACCTTATATACACTTTCTGGCTTTTTGCTGGTTGTTGGGGCTAAGAATCACTCAGATTTGTCTGCCCAGGCTGGCTTTGAACCTTGATTCTTAGATCTCAAGCTCCTAAGTAGCTAGGATTACAGGTATGAGCCATCAGCAGTGGGATAAGGCTCCCACTCTTGATCTGAACCTAGAGATGGATGCCAAGACAGTAGCTGGACCAGGCATACTTGGTCAGAAATGGTAAGAAGTGCAAAGTACAGTTCACAGAGACATGTATCTCAGAACAAATTGTTGCCTTGGACTCCAGTTACTGCAGGGCTGAGAGCAAGTAAAAAGCTCGCGAAAGTTAAATACCCAATCTCCCATTCACCACTGTCTGTTACTAGTATCAGAATGCTATTTTACTATCTGGTAGCATACAGTAAGCGATCACCTGCCACATTCCATAGCCATTGGTCTACTAAATCCAGCTCGATCTCTGCACAAACATAATTTCAGTAAGTCCTTTGAGCTGCTTCTAAAGCCTACCATGGGGAGTACCCTTTCTACCAAGAAATCAAATCAATACACACTTCATTTCCTTCTCCCAACCTCTGGCCATGAGTTATAAGGTTTTTGAGAGCAAAAACTCACAGATGGCATCCCCTCCCATCCCAGGATCTGTCTTGGCTGGGGCTCAATATGGAACACATGGACAGCCTAAGAAAAGGGCAGGCAGAGAAGGTGAATATATTCAGAGGCCAAGGTGGTATACAGCTGAGTGGCTTTAAACAATTCTCCCAAATACTCACTATCCACAAAGTCCTTGCACTCTTCTTTGAGCTCTATGGTCTGCTGGGTAACATCTGGGTCCAACACCCGCAGCTTGTTCAGCTCATCGAAGTGCAGCCCTGCTTCCCCCAGGATGTCCTTGGCCATAGCTGCAAAGAAACCAACCCCAATCATGTTCCAGGCTCCCAAGGAAATGTCTGCTCCTAGCCCAGCTCCCACCTGCCCCAGATACCGGTGCCCAAACCTCTGGTGTTCCAAAAGCTCCCCGTTCCCTCAGCCTCACCTGTTTCCCTTCCAGGGACCTTAGAGAAGTTCAGAAGGAATCAGGAGGAGACGTGTCTTAGAAGCAAGGGGCAGGAAAGAATAAAGTCCAGCTTTTTGTCACAGGTATCATTCATTCAACATACATTTCTTGAGTGCCAACTACATGCCAGCACTGATAGACACTGGGTTACAAAGATGGATATAACATGGTACTCGCCCCACAGGAGCACATAGTTTAGCTGGAGAAAGAGACCGGCAAGCTGAAAAATTACACTGTTCAGTGCTTTACAGAAATATCACAAAGAATAGGAAGAGAATCAACATCTGAACTTAAGTTGCAAGCCATAATATAGTTACATATCCCCATTTATGTACTCAGGACACAAAAAAGGCTTTTCCAATACAGATACTGAAACAACACAAAAAGCAAATAAAATAAAAAAAAACTAAGTGGACTAAAAATTAAGATTAAAAAAATAAGCAATAAATACGAACGTTACCCAAACAATCACGGTGCCAGTGACTCATGCCTATAATCCTACCTACTCAGGAAGCTGAGATCTGAGGATCAAAGTTTGAAGCCAGTCAGGACAAACAAATACAAGAGACTCAACTCCAATTAACCAGAAAAAAGCCGAAGTGGAGGCATGGTTCAAGTGGTAATGTGCCCAAAGTAGAATGACTGAATGAGATGCCCTAAGTTCAAACCCTAGTACAAAAAAAAAGAGGAGGAAAAAGGCAGGCACTGGTGGCTCACGCCTTATGATCCTAGCCACTCAAGAGACCTTGAAACCTGAGAATTGCTGTTTGAAGCCAGCCTAGGCAAGAATAGTCTGAGGCTCTTTTATCTCCAATTAACCAATAAAAGCCAGACATCAAGGTGTGACTCAAGTGACAGAGCACTAGCCTTGAATGAGAAAGCTAAGGAACAGCCCCAGGTCCCAAGTTAAAGCCCCAATACCAGCACAAAAGAAAAAGAAGACAAGAGGAAGTGGCACTGTGGCTTAAGTGGTAGAGTGCCAGCCTTGGAGAGCTCAGGGACAGCTCCCAGGCCCAGAGTTCAAGCCCCACGACCAAAAAAAAAAAAAAGATGAGAATGTATACAAGACACTGCAACGCTGCCTAAATTAGGAGCCAAAGTTGAATCAGTCTCTGTCAGAAAACACAAAGGATGAAGTATCCACAAGAATGTGCAAGATACAGAAGCCAGGGGATACATTCCAAGCAGAGAATGCTAAGAGACAGGACCTACCCCACCTAGAGGATGAAAAGAACGAGGATGAAACTGGAAATGCGGTCAGGGGCAACCTGAGGGACCTGTGCAAAGCTTAGTTTGGATGGGTATTTTTTTTTCTTTTGTAGACAACAGAGAATCAAAGAAAATACCCCCCACCCCCGCCGCTGGCCTTTGAACCCTGCATTCCTGATCCAAAGGATATCTCAATGCTGAGACTGAAAATGCACCTTCATTTTGGCCCCAAAAATTAAAGTAAAACTTAAAACAGAAAATAAACAGCCTAGGTTGTTTAAAAGGGGAGGCAGCCAGGCACCAGTGTAATCCTAGCTACTCAAGAGGCTGAAATATGAAGATCCAGATTCAAAGCCAGCCAGGGCAGTAAAGTCCAATTGACTACCAAAAAGCTGGAGGTGGAGGTGTGGCCCAAATGGTAGAGCACTATCCTTAAGTGAAAAAACTAAAGGATAGCACCAAGGCCCTGAATTCAAGCCCCAATATTGACAAGAAAAGAGGTGGAAGAGAGGGGGCACAATGGGGCTGAGGATATAGTTCAATGGAAGAGTATTTACCTAGGATGCAGTGAGGCTCTGGGTTCAATTCCCAACACTGACAGGGGGAAAAAAAAGTCCCTACAGTTGACAGACTTCTGATTTTTAAGAGGACAAAACCTCTGAATATCAAATGTTGATATCTAAATTTAGACATTTTGTGATCCAACTAATGTGTCTATGAGATTTCAATGGAATTCACTGCAGTGAACTACCACCTTTCTTTTGCAACATTTTAAATTATCCAAAGCTTCCTTATAATTTAGTTGTTTTAAAAAAAAAAAGGAGCAAAAAAAAAGAGCTATCTTAGAAGGTAGAGCTAACAAGGAGGATGAATACAGTTAGAAATGGATTGTTTGCAACTATGAAAATAAATCAATGAAACCTTTTGAAATTGTTTTGGGAAGGGGGGACAGCAAGGAGAGAGGATATATTGTAAATACTTGTGGTATGAAATCTCCTGTATGACTAATGTTAGTCCATTTTTAAGGCCTACTTCCTATCTGTTCTACATACCCGAGTACTAACGGCTACCAGGTGATTTTTTTTTTTTTTTTTTTTTGGCCAGTCTTGGGGTTTAAACTCAGGGCCTGGGCACTGTCCCTGAGTTGCTGCTGCTTCTTCCATCCCCTCAACCCCAGGTCGTGGGGCTTGAACTCTGGGCCTGGGCACTGTCCTTCAGCTTCTTTTGCTCAAGGCAAACACTCTACCACTTGATTCACAGCACCACTTCCGGGTTTTTCTGTGAATGTGGTACTAAGGAATCGAACCCAGGGCTTCATGCATGCTAGGCAAGCACTCTACCACTAAGACACATTCCTAGCCCTACCAGATGATTAATCAGACCAGGTGCTCCTGAAAAATTCCAGTAACTTGAGGGAGCAAACACCTACTTGCCTTCCACTGCCTTCCTGAGTCTGTATTTAAGAGGCAAATCCAGTGAGTACCTGCTCTGGAGAATATCAAAGAAAAAGTCTCTGAAGAGGCAGCAATCAATCACGAATTGTGAGAGTAGTTATGTGAAGATGCAGGAAGAGGATGTAACTGCAAGAACAAGTGACACCTCTGAAAAAAGTGACACTTAAAACTGAGACCTAAAGGGTATCCTAAAGTTTGCTAAGAGAAGGGAGACAATCTAGGCAAAAGTAAAAGCACAGGGGAGGGGCTGGGAAGGTGGCTCAGTGGGCCCTGGGTTCGATTCCTCAGCACCACATAAGCAGAAAAAGCTGGAAGTGGCACTCAAGTGGTAGAGTGCTAGCCTTGAGCTGAAGAGCTGAGGGACAGTGTCCAGGCCCAGAGTTCAGGGGAGACTCTGAGACTAGAAGAAATCTGACACGTTCCAACTAAAAGGCTAGTGTGATCAAAAGTAGGATCCAGAACGAAAGCGGAACTGGGTGCGGCCAGACAGGGAAGCCTGAGCTGCCTGGGTCGATTTTAAAAGGTAAGGGTGGCGATCACTGACTCAAGTCTGGGGACGGGACTTGAGGGAACAAAGGGGCAGGTAGGCCACACCTACCTGACTCCTGGCCATAACCTTAGGGTATACACTGGCACATGAATTGGCACTCAGTAAATGTTGGCAGAATGACTGACCAAGCCAATAGGCAGCTATGGAGAAGTAAGCAACAACCGTTTGCAGAGAGGCGTTCTAGTTAACGCTACTTCAGTGGAGTTGACAGGACTGCCTGGACGTGCGGTGGAGACGCTGAGTGAAGAGAGGAGCCAGGCGTGGTTCCCGTGAATCGGATGCGTACGGAGCGTACGCTGGGCGTGGGTGGAAGGAGGGATGGACGGAGACGGTCCCCGCGGGACCATCCGGTTCTCTCCCGGATTCCTTTCCCCCACACACCCGTCTGAGCGTCCAGGGGGGCACTAGGTGCTGACCCGGGATTGGACCCCCGTGACGACGGGGGCGGGGACGAGCCCACGCCCCGGCTCCCCGAGACCACAGACTGTACGAACCGGCTCCACCCACAGAGCGTGGGGAGGACGCCGGGCAGAAAGTTAGCCGTGGCGTCCCGGCTCCCGACACTCGCCGCGGGGATCCGCCGGGCGGCGGCGGGCGCGCGCCG